TTTTTACCCTTCTATCTGGCAACAAAACTGACACCTTTTTTTACGAGGAGTCATGTTTGCATAGACTACAATACCTGCTGCCATAATGCAAACAAAAAACATAACTCTGATAATGATATGCACTGTCCTTGAAGTTGATTGGTCCACACCCGAGACAGCTTTCCTTAGAGCCTAGTCTCACCCTGGTGTTGGACCAGATGACGCCAAAAGGCGCACAACTCAAAGACAATGCACCATCAGAGCATGAGAGCTCGGGGTGAAGCATTTACACCATTGGAACCTCATTTACCAGTAAAATAATATCATAATAATTTTTTTACCCTTCTATCTGGCAACAAAACTGACACCTTTTTTACAAGGAGTCATGTTTTCATAGACCACAATACCTGCAGTCATAATGCAAACAAAAAACATAACTCTGATAATGTATGCACTGTCCTTGAAGTTGATTGGTCCACACCCGAGACCGCTTTCCTTAGAGCCTAGTCTCACATGGTGTTGGACCAGATGACGCCAAAAGGCGCACAACTCAAAGACAATGCACCATCAGAGTATGAGAGCTCGGGGTGAAGCATTTACACCATTTAACCTCATTTGCCAGTAAAATAATATCATAATTGGTTTTTTTACCCCTCTACCTGGCAACAAAACTGACACCTTTTTTACAAGGAGTCATGTTTTCATAGACCACAATACCTGTAGTCATAATGCAAACAAAAAACATAACTCTGATAATGATATGCACTGTCCTTGAAGATGATTGGTCCACACCCGAGACAGCTTTCCTTAGAGCCTAGTCTCACATGGTGTTGGACCAGATGACGCCAAAAGGCGCACAACTCAAAGACAATGCACCATCAGAGTACGAGAGCTCGGGGTAAGCATTTACACCATTGAAACCTCATTTGCCAGTTTTGTTGCCAGATAGAAGGGTAAAAAAAACAATTATCATATTTTTTACTGGCAAATGAGGTTCCAATGATATGGCCATTTTGAGTGGAGATCATTTGCGGCTAGCAAGCCACTTCTGACCAATAAGTTCACACTCTCAGTGGAGCTTTGCCCGGTAGGATTGGGGATGGTTTAGTGTCGTATTTTATCTGTGCGTCGGGTGATTTGTTTAAGTTTCTTGTACTTTGCACTGCTGTCGTGTTTGTGTAACTGTGTTTGCTGTTGGAACGCTCACAGCAACAAGCAGAACGCCAGGCGGCTAAAATTCAGCAAGTTGGCACAGTAGGGGGGTACAGCTGGTGGTGCATCTACCGGTCATCTCAGTCAGTCAACCCGTGGCACCTGCTGAGTCTGTCCCGAGACCTTCTGCACCTAGCCTGGCACAGTAGGGGGTACAGCTGGTGGTGCATCTACCGGTCATCTCAGTCAGTCAACCCGTGGCACCTGCTGAGTCTGTCCCGAGACCTCCTGCACCTAGCCTGGCACAGTAGGGGGTACAGCTGGTGGTGCATCTACTGGTCATCTCATGGCACCTGCTGGGTCTGTCCCGAGACCTCCTGCACCTAGCCTGGCACAGCAGGGGGTACAGCTGGTGGTGCATCTACCGGTCATCTCAGTCAGTCGACCCATGGCACTTGCTGGGTCTGTCCCAAGACGGTTACAGCTGGTGGTGCATCGACCATTCAGTTTGGTCAGCCAACCCATGGCACCGGCTTGGTCTGTCACGAGACCTCCTCCTGTCAGCAGAGAGCCTTCGACACTTCACGTGGTGGCCTCAAAGTGCACCTGGCCTGGCACAGGCGCCGTGGTGACGTCACAGCCACTTGGTGGCGAATGGCAGCTGCTGTTGTTGTTGTTGGCAGTGTTGTTGTTGTTGTCGTCATCGTTCTGTGAACAAAAGTAACAAACAACACGTACTCCGATTCGCCATCGACGTGCACCTAGCATGGCACCCTTGGGGCCGCCGCGGATGACGTGGCCGCCATTTTTGTTGCGTGCGAGATGGAGCCACAGCGCCATCGGGTGGTGACGCAACCACATCGCCTCTCTATCACGTGACAGCCCGTACTAGATTTTAGATTTGAAGCTTTCGTGACCGCAAGGATTCATTCAAACTCTTAGATCTTTCGGTAAAGTCACCAAGTAGGTAAAAAAATGAACTTAAAATTAATAAAAATAAAACAAAAAAATCACGACGTTTCGGAGGCAACACAAGTCTCCTAAATTCCTCTTGATATGCAAATTATTTTGTCTAGACGCTCTTCTTCCCACCTCCCCCCTGGGTGTCTGTGTAGTGAATATATGGGTCGCTGTGTGGTGAGTCTATGGGTCTCTGTGTGGTGAGTCTATGGGTCTCGTGTGATGAGTCTATGGGTCTCTGTGTGGTGTGTCTGTGGGTCTCTGTGTGATAAGTCTATGGGTCTCTGTGTGATGAGTCTATGGGTCTCTGTGTGGTGTGTCTGTGGGTCTCTGTGTGATAAGTCTGTGGGTCTCTGCGTGATGCGTCTGTGGGTCTCTGTGTAGTGAGTCTGTGGGTCTCTGTGTGACGAGTCTGTGGGTCTCTGTGTGATGAGTCTATGGGTCTCTGTGTGATGAGTCTGTGGGTCTCTGTGTGATGAGTCTATGGGTCTCTGTGTGATGAGTCTGTGGGTCTCTGTGTGGTGAGTCTATGGGTCTCGTGTGATGAGTCTATGGGTCTCTGTGTGGTGTGTCTGTGGGTCTCTGTGTGATAAGTCTATGGGTCTCTGTGTGATGAGTCTATGGGTCTCTGTGTGGTGTGTCTGTGGGTCTCTGTGTGATAAGTCTGTGGGTCTCTGCGTGATGCGTCTGTGGGTCTCTGTGTAGTGAGTCTGTGGGTCTCTGTGTGACGAGTCTGTGGGTCTCTGTGTGATGAGTCTATGGGTCTCTGTGTGATGAGTCTGTGGGTCTCTGTGTGATGAGTCTATGGGTCTCTGTGTGATGAGTCTGTGGGTCTCTGTGTGATGAGTCTGTGGGTCTCTGTGTGGTGAGTCTGTGGGTCTCTGTGTGATGAGTCTGTGGGTCTCTGTGTGGTGAGTCTGTGGGTCTCTGTGTGGTGAGTCTGTGGGTCTCTGTGTAGTGAGTCTGTGGGTCTCTGTGTGACGAGTCTGTGGGTCTCTGTGTGATGAGTCTATGGGTCTCTGTCTGATGAGTCTGTGGGTCTCTGTACAATGAGTCTATGGGTCTCTGTGTGGTGAGTCTGTGGGTCTCTGCGTGATGAGTCTATGGGTTGCTGTGTGGTGTGTCTATGGGTCTCTGTGTGGTGTGTCTATGGGTCTCTGTGTGGTGTGTCTATGGGTCTCTGTGTGGTGAGTATGTGGGTCTTTGTGTGGTGAGTCTGTGGGTCTCTGTGTGATAAGTCTATGGGTCTCTGTGTGTGGTGAGTCTGTGGATCTCTGTGATGAGTCTATGGGTCTCTGTGTGGTGTGTCTATGGGTCTCTGTGTGATGAGTCTGTGGGTCTCTGTGTGGTGTGTCTATGGGTCTCTGTGTAGTAATGAGTCTATGGGTCTCTGTGTGGTGAGTCTATGGGTCTCTGTGTGATGAGTCTGTGGGTCTCTGTGTGATGAGTCTGTGGGTCTCTGTGTGGTGATGAGTCTATGGGTCTCTGTGTGGTGAGTCTGTGGGTCTCTGTGTGATGAGTCGATGGGTTGCTGTGTGGTGTGTCTATGGGTCTCTGTGTGGTGTGTCTATGGGTCTCTGTGTGGTGTGTCTATGGGTCTCTGTGTGGTGAGTATGTGGGTCTTTGTGTGGTGAGTCTGTGGGTCTCTGTGTGATAAGTCTATGGGTCTCTGTGTGTGGTGAGTCTGTGGATCTCTGTGATGAGTCTATGGGTCTCTGTGTGGTGTGTCTATGGGTCTCTGTGTGATGAGTCTGTGGGTCTCTGTGTGGTGTGTCTATGGGTCTCTGTGTAGTAATGAGTCTATGGGTCTCTGTGTGGTGAGTCTATGGGTCTCTGTGTGATGAGTCTGTGGGTCTCTGTGTGATGAGTCTGTTGGTCTCTGTGTGGTGATGAGTCTATGGGTCTCTGTGTGATGAGTCTGTGGGTCTCTGTGTGATGAGTCTATGGGTCTCTGTGTGATGAGACTATGGGTCTCTGTGTGGTGTGTCTATGGGTTTCTGTGTGGTGAGTATGTGGGTCTCTGTGTGATGAGTCTGTGGGTCTCTGTGTGGTAT